CAGCGCGAGGTGCGGGCAGCGCAGGTTGTAGATGAGCAGGACAGGAGGAAGGTGGGGAGTTAGAGGGTTCGACCCGCGGGATGGCATGGTCCTACATGATTGGGGTGTCCATTCAAGTGGCGCGCGGTTTCCCGCTCTCCACATTGATCCGAGCATCCCAACTACGCGGCCAATCACTTCGCGGGGTAAGGATCCAGCTGGGCGGAGGGGAAGACGAAGAGTCCGACATGGGGAAAATAAGCGCAGCAAGAAGGGAAGATGGTGCGAGGATGCAAAGCAAGAAACGGGGATGCGAGACGCGCGAAGAAATTGGAGCTTGGGCGCGTGCGCGTAAAAATTCAAAAAGTCCCAACCGCACCCGTTTCTTGGTTTTCATACCGCGGCCGCTATTCGCCCGCGGGAGTTATTAACCAAACAAAATGAAAAAGCCGTTTCAAAAAGAAAACAAAAGCAAAGAGAAAGAAAACCCCTTTCTATCCGCGTCCGTACTTCGGGGCTTCCGCGGGATTTTTCCTCAGGGATACCGCAAGCCAGGCGGTACGGATCTGAGCTTATCACATCTGTGATACGCAGGGGGTTCCGAAAAATTCAGCAATCTCCCGACTGCTGATGTCATCATATGTTGGATGATCGGGCGGCCTCTTCATCGTCTGCTGGCCCGATCATCTTCCTAATCTACGTGGATGCGTACTGCATCCTCCATGTTTTTTTTATATACAGCGTGTACCATCGCGTGAACTTTGGGGATAAGAAAAGAAGGCGATAAAGAGAAGGAGAAGGAGAGAACAGGGGAAAGGTAGACGGGGGTGCTCTGAGGAAGTGATCTATGTCGGGATTGAGAGGGCGTGGAATAGGCGGAAGAAAGCGGCCATTGCCGCGGAAGTCGTCGATGCATCTTCCTCATGGAAGTGGTGCTGCACGAACGAGGGATAGAGGAAAGCCCCCGGTACATGAGACAGGACACGGGCCGCCAGATCCGCCACCGCTCACACCACCCGTTTGCGCACCGATCGGGGCCCCGGACCCGTCATCACCACATGAGTCTCGGTGTAAGGTCGCCGCTCCCGCTTCTGCGCCGCGAAGACAAGGATGTGGTACATCGCATTGGGACGCTGCCTGGTCTCGTAGATGAGCGTCCCAGCCAATCGCGCCGCAATACACCCTTGAAAAGGGGGTGTCAGATATGGCTCCCAGGCCGGATCAGGGCGCGGCGCCCCCGCGATGGCCTCGAGCCGGATGGTGGCGGGCTCCACCATAAAGTCCACCTCTGTCGGATGGACCGTCCGGCTCGGAGGAACTACTAATGTCAATGACCGGGGCACCCCGGGGTGGCTGGTGGGAACGGGGAGGTCCTGCAAGGATGGGGGTTTTGGATATGGGATCCGGAAATCCCATTCAGCTTCCTTCTCCGGCTGCTGCTGCTGCTGATGGCCCGGCTCCATCAAGATTGAGATCGGGCACATGCGGAAAGGGCGGCGATGGCACGACTATCTCCTTAACGGGCGTCACCGCACGCGCGGGCTGAATCACTTCCTCGCCGCCGCCGATCCTGCAGCCTTGCGCTCCTGGCGACGGGTGGTGTCTCTTCCTCTTCGGCGTCTTCTTAGGGGCCTTTGGTGGCGCTGGTCGAGAATACGACGAGGGAGGCTGCAACGGCCTTTCCTCCGGGAAGTCCTCCAACCTTTCCGCCCGCTGCGCAATGTAATCCGGGATGACGACCACGTTGTACGTCCTCCGCGGGGCCGTCGCTGTCCGCAATCGTGGTTGGATCTCCTCCTCCTCGCTCGCGATCACTTGCGCAATGGAGAGGAGCTCAAGATGTATGAGCTCCAACAATCCCGGATCGATCGTCTGGAGTTGGGCGTAGGGGTACAGCGCCACTGTCCCTTCCTTCTCCGCTGGCTTGGGCCGTTCGATGACGTAGTAGACGACGAAGTGCTCCCCGATGCAGTGGTCTTCGTGATCCACGAAGAATCGGAACATCCCCAGCGGCACCGACTTGTACAACGCACGGTGCAACTCCCACACGTCTTCGTTGGCGAAGGGCAGCGGCTCCACGTCGGTTAGCTCCACCAAATACTCCGAGAACTCGCGCATGGGATGAGGGCCCTCCGTGAGCTGGTAGGGGAGGGTGGTGTAGGAGAAGAAGGGAGGCATTTAGTACGGGACAGGGGGAATAGCTTGGAAGTTGAGAGGAGCAGCGGGAGCGAGAAGCGCGGGGAGCTGCGGCACCAACGCAATCGGTCCGTCCTCTGCCCTACGCAGCAGCACTTCGTGGGCTGTGAATCCGTGTCCCCCCCGTCCTTGCAATCTGGCCACTGATCTGGCCGCTTCCACCGCGTACTCGCACACAAAGCTGCGCGTCGGCTCCCGATTCGGCTGCGGTAGGATCGTCAAGTCTCCGATGAAGGTGGCGACGCTGTGCACGAAGTTGGGTGCCACCTGGAGCGCGCAAAACTCAATGAATACTCGGGTCGTCTCCCAGCCAGGCAACTGCGTCACGTCCACGTACACCCCCGCACACGTCAGCCGATCGCAAAGCAACGAGTACGCCACCAAATCAGCAACCCCGGGCGCTGGCACGTTCACCTGCTGGATGTCGTACCGCAACTGCCTTTCCTCATTGAACCGATGACGCAACAAGCGATCTGCAAGCGGCGTCTGGAAGTGCTCGAGGGGCTCATGCTCCGGCTGGCGATGGTTCATCCTGCTCCCTGAAACTCTCAGCACCAATGGACGAGGCAGATCGGGAAGAGGAGGAGGATGAAGAAGGAGAGGGTGATCTCGCAGGAGCGGGGGTCCGTAGGGGACCTAGCGATGGCTGGAAGGGCCGGAGCGTGGCAGCGTGCCGTGTCAGCGGTCGGGCCTGGGAGTTGTGACGGGGAATCAGCTTCACAGAGTGCTGTCCCTGTGCGCCAACTTCCGTGACCTCGTAAATGTCTGTGTAGCGCTGATGGATCTTGGAGGAGCGCGCAGATTTTCGTACCTGCACCAAGTCCCCAACTTTATAGCGGGGCAGTGGTCCCGCCGACGCGTGTCGATTCTCATAGTCACGGATCTGCCGTTGATGTGTCCGACCTACGGCCTGCTGTCGACGGCGAGCTAACGGGGGATAGGCCCTAGCCATTAAGTCCATGTAGTGGCGGGCCTTATCTCGGTTCTGGGCCCGTGTTGCTCCAACTTCCGTACCTACTAAGGGGGACAATTGCACCCGAGGGACACTATTGGTTCTCAGTTGAAAGGGGGACACCCCAATACTACCGTGTGGGGTAGCCCGATAAACGGCCAAGATGTGGTCGACAATGACCGGCCAGGGTCGGGTGTCTCCCGCAGTGATATTCTGTCTAAGGGCGGTGTTAATCAGTCGGTTGGCATTCTCTACCAGGCCATTGGCTTGAGGCCAATGGCCCGGCGAGTAGATAATCTTAACGTCCGCCCTGACTAGGTGGCGTTCTACTTCGCCTTGAAATTCCGACCCATTGTCCATGTGTACCTCTTCTACGTCTAGATGCATGCACAAAAATCGATTTACATACCAGGCTACCTCCTGCGAATTCTGGCTGGTCATAGGGTATGCCTCGATCCATTTTGAAAAATGATCGACGGCTACTAAAAGAACATTGAGTTCTCCCTGATCGACGGGACCTCTCGGAACGTTGATATCCATCGTATCGATGCTAACCCTCTGAAAGGGGCACTCTACACGAGTGGGCACCATCGTCCGAGGCATCTGTACCGGCGCCTTGTCCGCCACGCAGGCCGGGCAATTTTGAACGATGTATTTCACATCTTCCCGAATTTCTGACCAGTACCATCCGTTTTTTTCTATGGCTTTCTCCATGTACTTGACCGTGAAATGGACCGCATCCTCTTCATGAGCGGCTTGTGTCCAATCGAACCTAGCGAGAGGGTGAGGAACCGTCAACCAGCTAGACCCTCCGTCATCATCGACTTTTCGTTTTTGTAACGTCGGTCCCTGCCAACGATAGTCCTGCGCCCGCTCCGTGACTCTCCGCCTCTCAGCTTTAGTAAGTTCTGACAGCGAGTCGCCTGACAGCCTCCGTAGCAACAGAAGGTCCGTCCAGGCTTCTACCCGGCGGGCACTTGGCGCAAATCCGTCGGCCGTTGTGGCGTCCAGATATCGCTTCTCTGTAGGGACTTGGTCCGTTCTATAGTTGGGACAGACCCATGTCTTTTCACTTCGGTACCTAACGCACTGTCCGTGAGATTTGACCATATGACACCGACTACACTGTACCCATAAAAGAAAACTGGGCCCTCCCGGATGTGACCCTTCTTGGTCCGGGACCATAGGCAAAGTACAGAAGAAATAGGGACTTAGATGCGTTTCAGGGGACGAGTAGGGACTAGACGAGAGAGCGAGGGAGTTGGATGAGGGCAAAGAGATCGCGTCTGCCATCTCCGGCGAAACCTCCATTCCGTACTCAGGCGTCATTCTTGCGCAGCACGTGTAGCTCCCCGTAGTGCGGCTTCGTCGCCGCGACTTCCGGCCTCCACGGAATGAGTCGCTCGTTGGCGGGACACTTGTTGGGCGGCAGGAGGCGCGTCAATCCATCGGCGTTACGACGCTGCCGCGTGGCACGGTGGCGGATGTCGAAGTCATAGTCTTGCAGACGCACCGCCCACCTGCCCAACGTCCCCATGTAGTCTGTGTTGTTGCGTAGGGACAGCAGCGGCTGATGATCCGTTACCAGCACGAATTTCTGGCCGTAAAGATACGATCGGAAATGCTGGATCCCCCACACCACCGCCAGACATTCACCTTTGCACGCTTCGTAATTATCCTGCGCCTGGCTCAGCGTCTTGGACGCATACTCAATAACGTGCTCCCTTCCATCCTTCTCGTGTTGAGTCAGCACCGCCGATATCGCTTGAGGCTGCCAGTCTGTGTACAGTGCGAACGGTCTTGTTAGGTCGGGGCGCGCCAACACAGGAGCAGATGTCAGAGACTCCTTCAATGCCTGAAACACCGCTTCGCATTCAGGCGTCCAGATCAACTGTTCCTCTTTCTTCAGCAGGTTCGTGAGGGGCTTCGCTATACCGGCGAAGCCCTTGATGAAGCGTCGGTAATAGGATACCAGCCCTAGAAAAGCCCGAACCTGGGTGAGTGTGACCGGCGGGCTTCTTGAACTGCTGCCACCTTCCTCGGATCCGGTTTTAGTCCATCGACCGTGACGATGTACCCCAAGAATGAGATCTCCGACAAGAAGAACTCGCTTTTCTCCAAGGCCACTTTGAACCCCGCATCTTTTAGTGCATGCAAAACCACTCAATGTGTTCCACGTGGTACTCGTGTGTTTTTGAAAATACCAAAATATCATCCATGTACACAATCACGCAGAAATTGAGCAGGGGCTGGGTCAGTCGGGTTTTGTTAACGAACTCAGCGAAGGCCATATTCATGGCCCACTGAAACATTGCAGGGGCGTTACAAATTCCCATGGGACGCCGGACCCATTGCCACGTGCCTTCAAATAGGACAAAAGTGGTTTTGGGACGGTCCTCCGGTCGGACTGCGACATGGTGAAAACCGTGTCGGATATCGCACTTGAAAAAGACTCGAGCGGCCCCGATTGTATCTAACAAATCGTCGATTCGCGGCAAGGGATACACATCTTTGGTAGTGATAGCGTTCAATTTCCGGTAGTCGATACATACCTGGACCGAACCATTTCGTTTTGGCACGAGGACCACGGGAAAAGACCACGGTCCCAGCGATGGTTCGACCCACCCCAACCGCTCGAATTCCCGTACCCTTTCCAACGCCAGCTGTTTCTCCTTAAGGCAATATCGTTACGATCGGCAATGTATCGGGGCGTGATCCCCGGTATCAATCGCGTGCTGTATCAAAGGGGTTAGCCCTATGTCGTGGTCCTGAATACTGACGGCCTCAGGATAGGCCCGTATAACTGCCAGGAGGAGGCGTCGGTATTCATCCGGAACACGGGCTGGTAACTGAACTTCTACGGTTCCCCCAGGAAGGGAGACCGTCGTCGTAACCATGGGGACCGCCGCGTTGGCATCGGGCGAGGCCCCAAACAAAGAGTTGTCGGTTTTCGTCGAAAGGATAGTCGCAATAAGTTGACTGTCCGCCGGGCTCATCGGCTCGCTTTCCATGTCATTGTCACCATCCAGTTCGGGTTCGGCCGAGGGTTCTACCGAAAAGGCCTGCGTCAGTTCTCTCGGTCCCCACCGATATTCCCTCGTTCGGGGTTGAAACGACACCCCCTCTTTCAAAAGTACCGCGACTTTTTCATTCGTGAGTAGGGGCCGTGGAGGTCGAAAAGATAAATCGCACAGCCCCTTCAGCTCGGTAAATCTTTCAGGTAGGGGGTCCGTCCTGAGATATAAGGACGCAGGGGGTTCCGAAAGGTCTGCTATTCGGGACACCCTCAGCAGGGGTTCCCCCTGCACCACGGAGGAGAACGCGTGCGACCGGTTGGACTCGCTCCGAACTATTTCCAGTGGTTCTCGCCGCTAAAAATGGCACCACCAATCCTAAACTCGGATCGGATATCGGTCGGGTACATCAGCCTCGTCAGTTTCCGTCAAAGGTTCGTTTTCGCCTGGTGACAGGCGTCGGATCATGTTGATTTGATGGGCTTTCGTGGTGAGTCGAGGCGCTGGCTGGGTGCGCATGCGCACCGCCAGTCTCATTGGTATCGTTTGGGGTTTGGGGTGGGCCGATGTGAGCACCACCTCACAACTGTCAAAGTGCATTCGCGCTCCAACCGCCGCCTGCCACGGAATGCCTAGCAGAACATCATACGCCTGTACATCCAGCACGATCACGTCGCACAAACAATGCACCCGCCCCACCCGTATAGGCACGCTCGTTATTCGCCCTTTACAATGAATACTATCTTCTGTAGCGGATATATACAGTTCATCCGGTCGGAGGGGCTGAACCTGTCCTTCCCTTTCCAACTTTTTCGTCAATCTCCAAGAAATGGCGACCGTCGACGATCCCGAGTTTAGGATGGCGGCCGAGGGATTTCCCCAGACCTCGCAGTCGCACTCAACGCTTTTCCAGGTTATAGGATAGGCTCGGAGGAATGCCTCGGGTTTTTCCGAGGCAGAGTCTATGGTCTGGATCATTCCTATCCGGTCGGCTTCGTGCACCTTGGAGGTCGAGGGCTGCGACTCCTCGTTTGTGGGTAGGTCCCGTAGGACCGGTTTTTT